GAGGCAGAGGCAGGCCCACGGGAAGGCTCAGCAGTCGAGACCGTGCCCACAATCACCCTGTGTTGGGAACTGCGGGGGGCTGAGCCCAGCACTGTTGCACCCCACGTCAGTGCCGTGGCCAGGCGCCAGCCCATGGCCTGGGCTTGGGGACCCTCTGACGAGGGACCGGGCAGGCGGTGGCCGAGCGTAGCAGTGAAGATCTCTCTGCAGGGAGCAGGTCTCCAAGACCCGTTCTGGCGTGTCCTCACCTATTCCTGGTGAGTATCTCCCCACGTTCATGTTTGTGGGTTGCACTCACGCGGACTCCCATGAACTGCTTGTGCTCAGCAGCCCAGAAACCCCCTCTAACCTACCTGGCACTTTACCAGCTAAGTTTTCATGGTCCCTCTCAGTAAATTTGCAGTTGAGGGTTAAGTTATTAAAAGTGCCTTTTTAAAGCTAAAGATCCGGTCCCAAGTGTCTGTCTTGCAACTCCAGGGAGAGCTGTGGGAGTCCTGTGCTCAAAGTCTTGGATGGTCAGCTAGGGAAGCTTGTTCCTGGAAAGCTCTTGGTGATGGAGCAAAGCTCCTTGGATGTCTCATCTCCAAAACTGGCAACAGCGTTTGGCCCCAGCTCTGCTGGGAGAAGGGGCCAGCTCCGACTGTAGGTGTCACCTTTGAATAGGGGCAAAAATCACCGTTCAGCTGATGGCTGCCTCCTTTCCAGTTCTCTGTGTGTATATGTACAACTATCAGAAGCACAAGGGCACAGAGCATCCTTCAAGCTAAAGAGGACTGTCACTTACACTTGGCTTTTATTATGAATGACGTTGTTTTCTAGAGTTGTAGCCTCATACATAACTCAGAGCCACAGAGGTCACTGCAAAGGTTTCCACCACCAGTTGCTTTGGCAAGTTAGAACTAGTCTGGAAAAGAAAAGTAACAGCTACAGCAGCAAGGCAGGGATCAGAGCAGGGTCACTTCCAGCCCCATCCCTACTTGCTGCAGTACAGCCATCCTTTCGGGAGCCACGCTGGCGAGCCCGGGGCACGGGGAGCATCCCTGGGAGGGACAGCCCCAGTCACTGTGCTTTGGCTCTCGTGCCTCTGACACAGACAGAAGGTTCCCACCTCACTTCATCACATAGAAACACGGTCATCAGCACTTGCCGTGTGCTTTGAAGCCCTTGGTCGGGGAGCTTTGGCGTTGTTAGCTGGGAGGTGGCATGGCCTAGTAAAGCGTTAAGCCAGCCATCAGCAGCAGCTAATCCCTGCTAACTCCCAACATCTGCCAAGTGGTTGTGCTGTGTGAAATGACCAAAGGCACACATCAAACTAAAGGCTCAAAGTGCTGCTGCAATCTCCACTTGACATCAGAAGCAATGGAGGGAAGGTATCAGTTCCGGAACCCTTTGGGGTAATGGGTGGACACAGCGAGGCGAGAGTTCACCGCCCTTCCGGTAACGTTACAGACACTCGAATGGCTCACAGACGCTATTGAAGCTTCAGGACTAAATTGCAGCTTCGTTAATAACTCTTGGCTCTTGCATCATTACCTGAGACTGTCTAACGGCTGCAGAGCGGAACGGCATGTTCCTGCCTTCTCCTGTGGGTGCCGTGGGGCAGTGAAGCAGCAGCACCCGCAGCCCGTGGCCCTGCCAGGCTCCCGTTGCAGGGGGCTCGGGAGCCCCAGGAGACATCTCCCCATCGCAGCTCGCAGGCAGCAGCGCGACCGTTGCCAGCAACGTCCCCGCTTCCCTGCGAGGGCAGCTCCCGCCCCTGCCTGCCTCGGTGTCCTTGTCCTTAGTGCCAATGGGAGTTTCACGCGTGGACAAAATGAGGTGTTCTCCCCCAGCCACGATACCTCTGATGTTCCTACCACAAGCCAAGAGCTGTTTCTCGAGGGAAAAGGTGAAAGTCACGATGGATAGGCAAAGCTGATCCAAACCCACTAAGGATTTCCCATAGCAACTTTGAAAACAGACTTACCCCCCCTTGGTAATTTGTGTAGGCTTTTTATCCTTCAAACTGGGGACAACAAACAGATCTCAATTCCAGAATTTTTTTTTTCTCTGACTTTCTTGATAATTATCAACTATTTATTTTTAAAGAAAAACATTTTCATTGGTAAAATGGGTGATTTCTCACTTAAAGGGAGGAGGGAAAGTTCAACGGAAAATTTGCAGCCATTGCTGCTAAAGACATTTCAACTAGACAGAACAAAGTGCTTGAAAATAGCACTACGTATCCCCCGGGCTTCGTCCAACCTACTTTCCGACGTTTCCCGAGATGAGGTGCCACAACTCCCACCAAGAAGCTGCTCCAGAGCCCGGCACATCGCGCTCCCACAGCCCCCCGCAGCCAGGGCCGGCAGCAGGGCATGTGCCGTGGTATGATTTGTATTCCTAGCCTGCCTACGGCACATGCCAGATAACTTCCATAGCTGTCGCACTGGCACAAGTGAATTACCCTCCCTCCACTTCACGAAATCCCCATCATTGCCAGCTCTCGCGGCACAAGGAAGGAATGCCAGCTCTCTTGTCTATTAATTACAGTGCCATCAGGAACGGGTAGGTGACTTAAAAATCATCACCCTGCCACTCAGAAGAATAGGAATGATCAGGAAGTAAAGTCTAGAGCTAGATTTTTTTTTTTTTTCCTCCCCTGATCCATTTTAACATGCCAAACACCAAGGGATGGCAAATCCCCTGGGGTTCCTGGAAATGCCCGTGGCTTCCCTGGACAGAGCATCCGCCCCGTAGCTCCAGCCAGGCAGGGCTAAGCAGGCTCATCCGATGTCACTCACATGACGTTGTTCCACAGGGAAGCTTTAAGCCAGTATAAATCATACCTCCCACAATAAGCACCTTAGATGAGAAGCAGGACCTTTGTAGCTGTTGCTTTTACGTATCACACCATCTTTTTTCATGCTTTCCCATAGCATTCACGGGGTGAACGTTTGGAGCATTTCATTCCCCAAAGAGCAGAGCCATCCTAAAACTCCAAATTTCATTATTTTTCCTCTGGAAATGTCTCCTTGGGACATGAAAAAAAACAGTGACAATCCACCATATATGCCAAAGCCAGTTCGCATTACCCAATATTCTTATTTTAGGCTTTATGCGGAGCCCCCGCAGGCAGACGTACCCCCGGGGTGCAGAGCGAGCCCCGAGCTGCCCCCCCTCCCGAGGGGGACGGCCAGCCCCAGCCTCAGCCCCCTCGCACAGCCTGGTCTGAGCCCCCCGAGCTGGGGCAGCCACAGGAGAAGACAATTTCTATCATTTCTACTTACGTACGTGGCAGTTGGGTGTTGCAGCTGCCTCTAACCACCCTGCCTGTGCACCACCGTCATCCCAAGTTGGGGTGCCCACCCAGCCCCCTCCCAGTACACCCCACACCGCTGCAGGAGAGGACCGGCAGCACCGCGGCTCCCCGCACCCACCGCCCTGGGCGGGC